GTCTTTTCTTGCCTTGCCCTGGAGGCGAGTGCTTTCTGGCGTCTACCATGTCGGGGCAGGTCAACTCTTCAGCGAATCGACCCTCTCGTCAACCCCGGCTTGCCAGCTGGCCACGTCCACACGGTCCAGGGACCTGACAGTATGTTCCCAATTATTCTTCTTATCAGGAATTTACTGATTCGGGTAACAATAGCCATCTCCATCGACTCCACCAACGAGGAACTCATGGCAGGAAGCTGTAGCTCCTGTCAAGTGAAACAGGACAAATCCGCATACTGGACACCGGCAATGTACTTCCAACATGCCGACACCGGAAAATTGGAGATCATCCCTCAAACTGGCGGTATGCTCGTATACTATCTCCAGCGTGGTGAAAATGTCACGGCAGCCCCTCCTGGCCTCCGCATACTTGCCGGTGATCCATTCCTCCGCAGCTTTCCTTACCGAACTATCGAGAAATCATTGTGGCAGGCACATGACAGGACCGAAGATGCTCTCCGACAAAAGGCTGTGGGATTCAACTGTTTAAACTATGACGAGCCAGCCAACTCAGCATTGGGGCTTCGTGCTATGCCAGATGATCCATCAAAGTGTAAGGATGGTTTGAGGGCTGAAGTTTTCTTTCCCAGCTGTTGGGATGGCAAGCGTATTGATTCGCCGGACCACAAGGACCACATGCGATACCCCTCCTTGATGGATGACGGTACTTGCCCAGAAACTCACCCTGTTCGAATTATTTCTCTGTTTTACGAAACTATCTGGGATGTTGCAGCTTTTTCCGGAATCGAGGGAAAATATGCCTTCTCCGATGGAGACCCACTTGGGTATGGGTACCACGGTGACTTCATGAACGGATGGGATCAGGGGGTTCTTGAGCAGGCTGTTACCGAATGCCTTGATCCTAGTGGTGTTGTTGAGAAGTGTGGTGTCTTTGAGCACTATACCGAAGAGGAGATGCAATCCTGCAAGGTTAAAAACATTGACGTATTGGAAGATGTTACTGGACCTATGGATAAGCTCCCAGGCTGCAACCCAATCACTCATGGCCCTGAGCGTGCATCGAACGTTACTTGTGACGGTACTCCAGCTACCAACCCACCAAAGGAGGAGGATCAGTCAATCTACGGGGGTGTCGCAAGCTTCAGTAGTCTCTCCTCCATTCCTCTCATTCAAATCCCATCACCAACTACCAAGCCAGAGCTTATTGCCACGTTAATACCTACAGAAACACCCACACAAACACCCACACAAACACCCATACAAACACCCACACCGGTGGTTCCGGAGACTCCTACTTCCGATCCTCCAACCAGCCCCACTGTTAACCTTCATCTTGTTGTTGTTACCATAACCGAGACAAAGACCGTTGACGTTTACTACACCCCCACCCCACCTACAGTTCCCAGGAGGAGGCGACATATCCATGGCGGTGCCCACCACCGCAAGCACTAATTCCAGAAAATCATTTTTTCTATTGGTGCTTAGTTTGAGTAGGCTTTGGTTGACAATTTTCACTTACTCTCACTGCGGTTTTCTGGCTGCATGGCGTCGCTCATTTCAAGCTTACTTGCAATCTTACGTTGGTGATAGATTAAAGTGTTTATATCCACTTATTTCTTCTCCGAGTTTACTGAATATCCTGCGTGCGGGAAACTCAAGTTTCGGAATTTTCCTATGGAGAATCAACTGGGCTGGTTAGGCATATTTGAATTGACTTGCAAGTATCCTCGGGTATCTAGCTGTTTCTTTTGATGGATCTCTTATTAAATCATCTCTTTTCCATCTCGAACTCTGGAGGGCGAGGACAGGAATAGTTATTTGGTCGGTGACTGGGGCTTTTTTTGTTCTATGTGCAAAATATACATATATACTACTTTTTCATGGCATATATTCTGGCTCGATTATCGTGTAGTGTGTCAATAGGGAAAATAACGGAATTCATTTGTTTATTAAGAGATCAGCCTACGGCCAGGCAAATTAACGACTGCATAACGATTTCCTAGAGTGTGGGTTATCTTGTTGAAGGTGTGCCTTCGAGCCATGATTGCCGCGAATCCTAAACTGGTGACCTCGTGTTAATTCCCTTAATAACTTTCCTTGCTGATTGGGTGGTCAAATTTCTGGCTGTATCGGGAAACAGATTGATGCCAAGAACACAAAAAGGGCGAGGACTACCGAAGTAGGAGTTAGTGATCGAGACTAATCGCAACTCCACGTTGAGAGGAGGAATACCTCATCGATTCAGGAGCGTCGACTAACTTTCTACAAGAACGCAGGTATGATAGATAGACCAGCTGTGGGTTCAGGTGAGTCTTCATGATGATTGATTTGTCTTAGGTTTCTCGCTAAAGAGAGTCCTTACAATCGGACAATGGACCACACTTTGTTAAACCCAATTATCAGGGCACTCACTCGGATCCTAAGTGTAGCTGCTTCCCCGGTTGATCCGTAGCTACTTCCCCACTTGTTCCGCTCCGCAGTTGGTTCTCCAGTTACTTTCCCAGTTGCTGATTGCTGCATATCGCTCATCCGAGAAGGCAGAGGCCACAGACATCATCTTTGTGCTCTGGGTTCCGGAGCAGCTGAGCAGCTGCGTTAACAGAATCTGGGCAGCGTAAGTCCAGACGGATTTAAGCACCACCTGAATAAATCAGTCTGGGCACGAGAACATGTACAGTATGACTGATTAAGTATGTAAGAGGGAAGCGACTCTAAAGAGCGCAAATATCTGCTTGCTTCTGCATAAGTACTGACCTGATCCCTCCAACACATACTTGCTTTACTCCGCTTGCTATCTCTCCGCTTGTTGTACTCCGCTTGCTCTACTCCTCTCCGCTTGCTCTACTCCTCTCCGCTTGCTATACTCCACTTGCTCTACTTCGCGGGCCTTAGCTTGACACCATCACTTCCACTTATGATAAAGGAAAAAAGCTGGGTGTGCAGTCTTCGAGAGAATACAGCAGAGCATGTAGATCACACTAGGTATTACATAAAAAGCCAACTAACTGCTCCGGCAAAAGCCGCCAAGAAGCCTGCTCTGGGTCCCGAAGCAGTCGAGCAGCTAGCGCTAACAGAATCTGGGCAGCATAGTTCCAGCCACTCAAATAAATCAAGTATGCTGACGCTACATATATCTTACAACATACATAACACACGCAACACATACAACACACACAATATTCAATACAACATAAACTACATTTCTATGTCTTCTGCAAAGAGTTCTTCAAATGTTCCGCACCGTCAGCCATGGTCAGAGGTGGAACCTCAGAGTATACAGACATATGCAAAACAGAACCCGAGTTCACATGGCGACATATTTATACGCTGGTTCGAATTCGAAAACCCAAGTAAAGAACTGACGCAGTCGCCAAGGTAATCACTCGGCCAATACCACTACCCTCCAAGATGCACTCAAGCATGAGAAAAAACGGATGAGATTCTTGAGATGGAACGCAGGCGGCAGCATGTGCAGCGCAGGATAACTGATTTTTTGGGTACTTCCGGAGCATCCTCCTCCTCTTCGTGAAGTCTCTCTGTTATTTGTATGCATGTCTAGTATTTATTGCGTCATTCCGGAGGCTTTCCTACCTAGTAATAAATTTCTCTAGTTATAAGCATATATTGGTTATAAGCATACCTTCCCCCGTCTCGCGAATATGCTTGTAACGAGAGTCATCTGTACTCATCTCCAACACAGCTGCTGCGGTAGCAGGGAGGGATCTGAACCGCTGCATTAGAACAGAAAATCGTTTTCCTTTGATCTTCCTCATCTTTTACTCTGGTTCCCTCCTCCTTTATTCACCCATCGTGTCTTTCCCCCCCCCCCTCTTTCTTCTATCGAGTCTACTTCTCCTCCTCGTTTCAGGACATTTATCAATAGTGTTCTTTATTCTCAAGTCTGGATCTGTTAAGTAAGTGACTGCCTATGAGTTGATGAATCCTATTTCAACCAACTAACAAACACAAAGACAGCTGAACATTATTTCAACTAATTAGCACCATAATCGAAACCCAGTTCCTGCTTTCCCCTCAGCTTCAGTCTAGTACGACATCATCTTCTGCATAGTTCCCTCAGAATAATGACCATGAACACCCCCAAAATTACAATCCCAGAGAGAACATCAAGCAAGCGGCCCCGACCAACGGTTTCAGTGTGGACCCTGAGTGGAGCAACTTGAAGAGCAACGGGAGGTGCTGAGGAATGAAATTGCCTCAACAAAAAAGAAAATCAAGTTACATTCAAGTATTACATCAGGGTAAGAATACTTTGAGATCATCTATCTTTCATGGCTTAAAAAAAAAAAAATTTCACTCTGAAACAGGCATAATCTAACAATAGCAAACTGCAATATAGGTACTGGGAAAGACGCAAAGACTTCGTTAATGCGAAAATACAAACGGTACAATTAAATCGAAAAATATCTATTCAGGGCTTTTTTGAGAAGAGCAGGGAGAAGCTGAGTGGTGATACTCAAGCAACCTATGACATCGAATCGGAATGGGAGAATACAAGTACGGCTAAAGACCTCCAAACAGAAGAGGATGCGCAGTATCGTCTTTTTGAAAGACAGGCTGAGAGACTACGTCTTGAGCCCTCTGGTTTGAAATAAGAGTCAACGTCGTGGGGTCATTGAAATGTTCACTACCCACAAACATGGACTCGGAATTACCCAGATTTCAGTTGAACAGAGCACTGGACAGAGTGAATTTAGGGAGGATCTCATTTTACAATATAACGCAAGACACGACGTGGAACAAGATTTTCTTTGGTGTCCAATTACACAAAAGTGGACAGAACAATCTTTTTGCAAAGCTGTTAAAACTAATTCAGTCCACCAATATCATTGTCTGTTTGCACGACCCTCGCAGAGGCAATATCATGGCGTAGTGACAGAGAATGCTTGTAAGAGAAAGTAGTCTTGGGAAGTTTGTCTAAAAGGAAACACTGTATGAGTGACAAAAATTTAGAAAAAAGTGAAAAAGGAGAAAAAGAATAGTTCCGTCGCCGGGAATTGAAGCCGGGTTCTGAGAGTTCACAGTTAATCATGAAATGAAAGTCTCAAATGCTAGCCACTACACCACGATGGATTTTATACAATATTCTGCCATGGAAGTCTTCTAAACCTGTCAGGGTGGACGGCGCAGTCCCTGCTAGAATGCTGTAGAACAAGAGAGGGAGTGGTGTGAGGTAGCGAATTTTATGTAGTGAGATCCTAGCATTATTTGTATGTAGACATTGTGTTGGGGCAGGGACCGGTTCGGTTGGAGAGGGGGTCGACCTGAAAACCGGGGAGATACGGACCCTGATCATAGGCTAGATAGCTTGAATAAGGGTACTGGTATGTTAAGAATAAAAAACCCCCCTTCAACCAGTCGCAACCTATTTTTGAAAATGCCAAACTCCTAGTCGAACGACACCAGCAGAAGTGGAGGCGGAAGTAGAGGTAAAAGTGAAAGTGGAAGTAGAAGTCAGAGTAGAGGCGGGAGCGGAGGCAGAAGTGGAGGCAGAGGCGGAGGCGGCGGAGGTAAGTATCTCTAGATCAACATTTTATGAAAGACTCGAACGATATCACCAGTTATCCTGTCCTCTTCTTCTTCTACTCTCTCAATCTCACGTGTCGGCTTATACTATTGGACAAACCAGATGCTATTCAGGTTAACTCAAACACACAGGCTAGCATGCTCATGATGGCAATGCTTGCAGCGTAGGGTTTGGTAAAATCAAGTAAGAGATGTGTATAGCTGTGCTCAAAGTACTCTACCTGGGACCGGCAACCGCATGCTAGAGGATAGGTAGATCCTAGTAGCGATTTTGGCGGCGATTTCGGTAACGACGCCGGGGGGGAGGTAGACCGCACGCCAGTAAATAGGGTGCTGGGAGGAGAGTTAGACTAAAGGTTGGTAGAGTCAGAGTGGATACTTATAGAAGGGCACTGGAGTCGGGTGCTGACGTGGGATGCCAAAAGTAGTTGGAGGTTGGACGTTGAGGTTATTGAAGAGTCACGCTTATAAAGTACTTAGCTAACATTTTTTTTTTTTTTTATAAATACTTAGTACTCCTATGCAGCCCCAATGGGGGGGCTATGAGTACTTAGCTAACAACAATGCACAAGACTAAACAGATAGGCAAATCTACTTCCTCGTTTTCAAGGTTTCCTCCACTTCCTTGAATGTGGGCTGGGCTCCTCTGCATACACCTCGGATGTAGTCTGGTTGCACGTGGATTATGTCTCAACCATTTTTTTAAAATCTTTTTTAATAGTCATTACTCATATACGGCCCCAATAGGGGGGTCACGATAGTCTGGTTGCACTACCCCTCCACAGAGGGATGAGCCCCCCGGAAACCCGGGAGGATTCAGGAGAGTCCAATTTAATCTGGGCCCCCCATCGAGCTATATACATAAAAGAGAAGGAAAAGAGAATCGAGGAAAGAACAGGCCCGTCTGGGAAGCTGTTGGAAAGTCTATGACGTACTGGTCGGACCCTTACCCGGGAAGCCGCCCATTTTGACGTCATGACGGGCCCTGCCGCTCCAAATGTGCATGATAAGGGAAAGAGTCAGTCGAGTCTGGTAGTCTGGTTGCACGAGTCTGGTTGGCCTCGCACACGCATTAAATCTATTCTGGGGGTGGGGGTTCTTAATTTCGAATTACCGTATCTGGTTGGCACAAGATTACCGCGGTAACGTAAGCTTAGTCCGAACTTAGACAGAACAAGCTTCTACTCACACAACCTCTGGCCTACACCAGTTATTCCGCCCTCACTTATACGACACTTCACATGCACAATCAAACACTTCAACTGGCCCTTGGGCCTTAAGGCTTCCCCTGTGTTTCTCTGCCATCAGTCTCACAAATCTGTCAACTCGCCACCCTTCTTCCAGCTTCTTCGTTTGTTGGATTCTATCCTGCCAACAGTACCCAGGCAGGAAACCATCTCAAATCATAGCGGTAACGTCCCCTGAGAAGCGAGCCGTTACTCCTCCTAAGAGTGCTACCATCCTAACCAGGCGACTAGGTACCGTACAGTTCCTATGCCTCTGCCACTACTGCTGCTTCTGCTGCCCTGAACTTACCACTCCAGTCTCTCACACGACACTTCACATTCACAATCAAACGGAACTGCTACTCACCTCCACTTGCCTGCGACTTGGGCCATAAGGCTTTCCCTCGTGTTGCCCTCGAATAAGCCTCGCCTCACCACCCTTTTTCCAGCTCCCCGTTTGTTGGTAGTCTTGACTATCCTGGTACCCATCACCAGTCCAACAGCACTCAGGCAGGCAAACCCCCCTCAAATGCGTTCAGTGTTCTCAACCGGCCAGGCCGCCGACCAGGCTGGCCCAGGCTACTCAGGCCGTAAGCAGGCCGTCCAGGCTATTCAGGCCATGGTCCAGGCTATTCAGGCTATTCAGGCGGCCTGCCTTAGAGTGGCCCAGGCCGGCCCCGGCTCGAGCCCGTATGCGAGCCGGCTCGTGCCCAGGCCTAAAACCGCCTCTCCTCAACTACCGCAACAGTATAAACAATGGGGACCAACGAATGGATTAGCATTCCTGGCAACAACCCGCCAGTAGTCAGGCAATGGAACCCAATCCATGTTAAAGAGTTTCTGGAGGCAAATCGAGATTGCTACCAGTTCAGCGATAGAGACATTGGTCTCATCTCCGAGGAGGGAGTTGGTGGCTTTGCCCTCCTCGGACTGACAGAAGGGAGGCTTCGGGAGTACGGATTGAAACGAGGACCAGCTTTTGGTGTTGCGCAGCTAGTTATAGATCTTCACAATAAAGCAGAGATCGTTGGTAAGTTCACTCCGTTTTGCTCTCATTGGTGAAATATTAGGTGGCTATCTGATGTATTTGTGGGATCCGGTACAGTATATAGGTACTAGTACTAGACACCAAAACCCGCAAATGTTTAGGCACCATAAAATTATTACTGTGAATGGACCCCTACACTCTGGGGACCGGGCTTCCAACCGTCGAAGAGGATGCCATTCCAGGAAACGGCAGAGCTTTTGCAGGTTAAAAGGCCTGTAATTCTCCATGGCCCATATCATAGTGGAAAACCACGTTTCTATGGGCAATGGAGGAATATTTGAGGGCTTCAGATATGTATCCTGTTTACATATCAATGACTGAGGGGGATTTTCACTGTAGAGATCATATCGAATCTTTATATGTGCTACTCTTGTTCAGAAATTTTGGTCAATACCTGGATGGGAAGGATCTCCAAAGCCAAATCTCGAAGGCATATAATCAGCGTACTGGCCACGGCGAAACAACAAAACGGAAGTGCCTATGTCTGCTGATAGACGAAATGCAGATGCACTTTGCAGTAAGTTGACATATCCTATTGTTTAGTCTGGTTGGCACCTCTATTGTTATAGATCGTTGGAGTATGATGGAAAAAAGGTGGTATGAAAATTTGAATTGGTGAATTTATGCTTGAAAAGTAGCTCTTAGTATGAGGCACTGAGGGGTACATATGCTTATAATATAAGTTTACTGTATAGCAGGCTAGTACGTTTTTCGTGCACGATTTTTATATGTATTAAATACAGTATATTCTTTTAGTTAATCCCTATAGTCATTGGCGTTCCTGTGCGTACTGTGCGTCCCATCCATTCACCTCTGTCTAAAGGGAACCAATACAATAATAGCCGAAATATTTTGTTTATCAAAGTGGCTTTGTCAGTACAGTAGAGGCCTTGGCTGTATAAGAATCGCCTGACGTATGAGGACACAAACATAGGGTGGCGGGGGGCTTGTGCCAACCAGACTACCAATAGGGATGCGGCCTATTATCCTGAGGCGGCAGTCTGGACGCCATTAGGCCTAATATACTTCAAAAAGACATGAAGTTCAAGTTGTGAGAATTTTCTGCTAACCAACCTCAGGCGAAACCTTACAGGTGAAACAACAGTGGTTTTTATGCATGGTGTTAATGACTCTCTTGCGTGACGTTGCGTATGCGCCTTCCCCGAATCTCTGGGATGGTTGTCGCGAGACCGATACCTTGGAAACACTTCATCCCAGGAGAATTTTCACAAGCTATTATATTGAATCCAGGGCGGGGATTTGGAAAATGCGAGTTGGGGTATAACGCAGTTCAAGAACGATTGGATGGCACTCACGCAGGCGGATGTAGTTGGCAGGGAAGTGACAGATAGCTAGCATTGTACCTGGTGAGTGCTCACACTCCTGGTAGCACGTGCCTCCCTAGTATGCTATCTGAAACATATACGTAGTAAATTGTCTGCTGATATAAAGTAACCAAGAAAAACCTTGAGAATCCAACTCATAACCGATAAATAGCAAATCCATCACACCAGTCTTCACCACATCGATATCTTCTACAACCCAGCCTCCTCACCGATAATACCTAAATACACCTGCCATCCTTCAAGGCCATAGATGTCTTCCGGCTCATACTCCATGCCCCCCAACGATGGTGCAAGAAACGTAAGAGTCGCGACAAATATGTTCTCCGAGGTGTACCCTGTTCTGAGCTCCTCATTTCACATAACAGAAACTGCAGAACAGTCCTGTATGCGCTGTCCAGGGCTCCCACAATCCACCCGGGGTATATACTGGTGGAATCACCAGCAAAGAATAGACGACCCATTGATTGAGGGCGCTGGATTCGACCAAAGAAGGACGAGTACTGACCAGGACCAAATGCACTCCATGATCCACGCGTGAGAGGGTCTCCATACCAGTTGTAGACGTGGTAGTCTTCTGTAAGGTTTCGCAGTTCCACCTCTGTTATGCCATGCATGGCAGCCAGATCGGCAATGACGTATGAGTAGACAAGCTCCTGGGGTAATGCAGAATTATTCTCAAAGAGACTCCCGAGGCGTGCGGCATCCTGAGCACTGTTATAGCAAGCAAGAAGGACTCCGGGCTGATTTGCCGGGGTGTTGAGTGCATAGGAAGGATATACAACTACCCTTGTTGGGCGGTCTGTTTTACCCTGACCACCTTGAATGATCTGCTGGTTGGCGTTGACTGCCCACCAACGTCTCTTGAACTTGATGCCCAACTTGACAGCATGTTCATACTTTAATACTCGAATGGCCTCACGGTGTACA